TGGAAGTGTAGGAGGAATAAAAAATTTTGAAATGCTTGAAAAATCACTACTGGGAGGAACTGAACTTTCTTTGAAACATCGATCCTTCAGTAGGCCATCAGAGTGAACATCAAAATCTTCAATATCAGAATCATCAGTGTGTACAACAGATGGCATACAAGGTTTTGTCATGCAAGGACTATACAATGGAAGATATTTCAAACCTGACTTCTTGGCCAACAAATCTGGTCTAAAAATAGAAAAGTTATCTTCTTCTGTATCAGACCAGGGCCGTAGCCAGGAACTTGAAACAGGGGGTTCGGAAATTGCTGCGCGCGAAGCGCGCAGCAAAAATTTTAACAGAATGGGCGTGGTCGGTAGGCGTGGTCTTGAGCTACGCATCTCAGCCATGTGCTGACTCAGCTAAAATGGCTATCTGTGCTTCTCGCTGCTGCCAAAATGCTAATCCTGCTTTTGCAGTGCTGTTCTTCATGACAGGAGCTAATCTAAAACTTTTTTGCAGCTACAACAGGGGGTTCGTCCGAACCCCCCGAACCATCCCTGGCTACGGGCCTGCAGACATGTAATTTTGAACAAGGCTTCTACTAAATGGACATATACCAGTAACTCTAAAGCTAGACTGGATGTTTTTCATTGTAAATGATTTAGTCCAAGCCTTCGAAAAGAGCCCACAAAAATCATAAACAGATATGTTGGTCCTCCCTGGATTATCAACAAAGAACTGGTGACATAAGTTGACAGAAATCGACCTTGTAGTGGACCCAATGACTTTTCTATTACTACTGAGTAATAAACTAAACAGTAATGATAGTAAGGATGAAATTTAATGCTTTTTTAAAGACTAGATAAGTGTGTAAATGCCGCAACTGTGTTTAAAATGGGGTGTGTCTATTTTTAGTCCACAAAGACCAGGTTGTGCACATCCAGCAAATAAAATCATCATCCTTTTTTATTCCTCTACAAACTTTGAAGTGCTTGGGGGTACATAGTCTTATCTCTGGGTTTCTCCGTAAAACACATGCCACCATTCTTTTTTCAGGAATATTGTTGGAAACTGTCAGCCCTTTTGTCCGAGGCAGCGAGACTATCTGATACCCTATTTTAATTATTTTGATAATCCACTATACTAATTCATTCTTTTCTTGTATAGGTGATGGACCAGGCCTTCCTGAAACTTGCTTAATTTTTGAAGCTGGAGTGGTCATGCATGCATGTATTGGTGGAGCTCTTTGGTATTGAGTATTTTCTCAAGCAGTAACAGAGATTTTTCATCACAAACTGTCTCTATAACCTTTTCCAAGTCTTTAGTCTTCCATTTCCCCCTTCTGTTTGCTGTTACTGTGTGATTATTATCACTGTCTGGTAACTGCCTCCGTCACCAAGGTGTATTTGCTCTTAAATAACTCTTACTACGTTATTTATATATTGTTTTACATAGTTCCATCAAATAGTGTAATTAATTTCCTTTGTATTGATATATAATGTTGGCATATTTAAAACTTTCAGTCTGCAGTTTCAAACTGTTGAAGTTTTTTGTATTTTAAGAGACATTTGATTGTTTGGACTTAGCAATTGACCATAATCATTTGCAGTCAAATATAACATAGAATAGCTATTGCAAACTTGCTGAAATTGGTTATAGCTATTGCAGATGGAGAGCTATACCCCTCAGAAAAACTTGGGTTCCTACTCAAATGTTTAAAATTTTTATGGTACTTTGAACTCAAGTGTCCGTATACTACCGATGTCCGTAAACTAGCTACGTTACTCTATAGATTTACGGAGAAAGGTGTTTGTGGATGTGGAGCAGCGCTGCAGCAGCGCAGCGCAGGGGCGCGCACAATGGGCAGTTTGGGCACACCTCGTAACAAAGATGGCAGCTAAAGTCCTGGACATGCCGGGACATGCTGGAAAAGGTCATTCACTATGTTACCTCTTGTTATCTATAGAGTATCAACCAGTGAAGAGGAGGGATCATTCGGGCCACTGTACGGGTAGGAGACTACCCGGCTGGGGTGGGGACTGGGCCGGTACGAGCCTCAGTGATCTCCCGGCCTAGAGTATCTACGTAGATGAAAAGAAGCAATCAATGTGTTCTGTCATGGAATTTTGCCACTTGGTGACTGGTAGATGGGAGCAAAAACCCACGACTGGTAATCAGTCCTCTGCTGGGTGTTTGTGGCTATGCAGCTGTTGCCATTGGAAATGGAATTTTGGAGACTGGTGTGGTGGTGATTACTGACTGTAATCATAACAGTTTATACACAGGTAAACATAATAGTTACTAATAAAATAGTTGCTATTTTTACGGACCCGTGATTTCACTGTAAACGGCTATTTTTAAAGCAGGATATATACTGGTATATATGATAATCAGCATCATTGAGGCAGCAGGCGGTTTGTGGTGACGCAGTGGGAAAGGCATGGGGCTGGATGTGGATGTGGGCACTAGTTTGAATTCAGCTTAGTCCATCGAAAATGCATGGCAAGTAGCTAGTCCCTAGTCCCCTAGTAGTTAGCATAGTTGCATAGCGTCCCCTAGGTTTAAAATGTGCAAATCATCTTGCCATAACAATAGTGGGATTACGGGACGATAAAAATAGCCACTGCCTACTGACATGTACATGTAAATATTATACAATATTTTATACAGTATTAATGTTGATACCTTCAACTGGAAGGAACTTGCTCCTATTATATCTCGTCATGGTCCTAGGATAAAGTTCAACTGTGACATGATACCAATAAAAGTCAACGGTGAGGACTATCTTGTAGTAATTAGAGAAGGAGATGGATTATATTCTAGCAATGCACCAAACAACCTGGTGCCCAGTGCAGTAGTGGTTGGAATAATGAAATAAACTCTCATCAGGTCAGTATAACAACACATAATAATATTAATAATGTATTTGATTTATAATCAACAAACTGATCATTAATTATAGTATATATATTTATAATTTTAGGTGATTGGATGTCACCAACTGTCACTGGAGACAGACCACCTATTAGCTCCTTCGCTCTAACATCAATTAATAATTTCAGTGCTATATGATTTGGAGATGATATTGCTAACGGAAAGAGCAACAATGTATAATGTTCTTAATTTTACTGATACATCAGTGGTGAGTGTACCTTATTAGTATGATTGTGTGTTATTCGTGTAATTCCATTAATTATTAATTAATATTAGTGTGTGTTTTATGATAATTAAATTTTATTTTATTACTTCAGAATTGTTTAAAGTTATCTAATCCTAGAGGATCAGTACAATGGCCTAAGGAAAGAAGTTGTCATTTGAGTGTATTGATTAACACTAGCTCAGGACCACACCTACTTGTGGTTGGTGGAGATGGTACATGTACTTCTGATATTTAGATACTTGATTACCGTATAGGGGTTTTATTTTGTTGGTATAAAATTTCACGAATTTATTCAGATTTGCCATTTGTTGGTATAAATTTTCGCGAACCTTACCTTCTGCAGCCATTTTTACTAGTGTGCCACACCTCTTTTGTGGAATTTAATTTTGCGAATTTAATGTAAATGCGAAATTCGCAAAATTTATTACCAGTGAAATATAATCTCTATACGGTATTAAGGAAGGAACTGGTTAATATAACATTTTATTGTGGGTGTGTTTTAGACATTTCGGGTGGAGTTTAGGTTTTGGATAAACCATAGGTAATAGAGTAAATGAAAGGGATTGGAAACTTTCACATAGGCGTAGCAATAATGCCATTTGATTATATTGTTGCTAAGCAAAAAATTTTCTGATAAGGTGGTTTGTTTTTTTTTGACGACAAAATTCTTGATTTTATTCATTAAAATTAATATACATGTACTGTAACTCCAAGAAGAGTGCTTTGATGAAAAAACTCGACTATCAAGAATTAAGCTTAATGTTTTGCACTGTGAATCAATTTTATGCCCATAATTTTTTTTCTCCCTCCAGTGAAGGCATTTGTCAATTATCACTAAGCACTGAAAGCTTGTCAGAATATAAAAGAACTTTCAATTACCTATGGAATGATATGAGGTAACACTAGAATAGCAAAAGCATGAAAGTTGTGGAGCTGAAAAAGTGTCAGAATAGATGCCGACGTGTATACCCATACATGTAACTGGTTGCAACATACATTGTAGCTCTATAGAATAAAAACCTTGCTATAGGCATAGCCCTAAACTTTCTATGTAGAAAGGAAGATATAAGCAAGCGCTATCTGATAGTCACATAATATTCCTTCAAGATCCTTCTGCACAGCAACTACTGCATGTATGTAGGAAATTGTGAATGCAGATAAACACGGACGTTGCCAACCAGGTAACCAGGGGTGACTTTTATTTACTCATTTAATTTAATTAATGTGCATGCTCAATAGTACACGACCACATAATTGTAATTTGCCAAAACGTTATCCCTCCAAAGTACATTATAGTTAATTAGTAATGGGTGTGGTTTATAGGACTTTTAATTATTTTAAAATTATTTAATTTTTATTTTCTCTCTCTCTCTCTCTCTCTCTAGTGTTCCATATCAAAGGATGGCATGGGAGGCTCTTAAAAAGAGTATTAATGGTCTGATTAACAGGGTATGTACAATCACATGACTGTCACATGATCACAGACACACCTCCTTAAGTCAACATATCAAATATTGCCAACATTGTTAGGGAGTTGTTACAACTAGAAAGGGGCTCCACCCTCCATTCACACCCCAAATGCACGTACATGCATACGAGCATACAGAAATTTTTCACCAGAGTGGGCTTCCACCCAATTAAACATAGTTTGTGGGCAGTAAGATATTTATATACTCTAATTATTCATTTTTAATATTATTTTTGTTCTTTTTATTAGAGGATTATTGGCACGTTCACTTATCTCAGCTCTGTCTGCCTCGCCCTCTTTTAGTCATGTTTATGCTGCACTGATTGCTATGGTCAATGTTAAATTCCTTGAAATCAGAGAAACGATTGCTAAGAGACTGATTGTTACTTTTTAGAAAGCATTAAAAGGAAAAAAACAAGAAGATTTGTTTGTTGTGCATCAAATTTATAGCACATCTAGTCAACCAATAGGTAATAATAATAATAAACTCTGATCACCCCATATTTTTATTACATTTTATGATGCATATTAATGTTCTTATGTAGAAAGTTTGAACTGATTCCAACTTCAGTTTTTCAAATTACACCCATTGTAAAAAAATGCCAACATTCTGAAAAATATTGACCCATGGTTTTTTTTAATGGCTCCGAATTGATCCCAATTTTTATATGCATATATTGATACACATTGATTTCCTTATGCCATGTAGAAACTTTGAGCCAACTCAGACACTACTTTATACATGTACATGTTATTATTGTTTTTACACTGTAGGTGGTCCACGAGTTGTTAGCATTGGAATTACTGACTGTATTACTGGAAGATCCTATACGAGTGATTCGATCTGTTGAAGTTGCTGTTGGTTTTTTAAAAGAGTGCGGACAGAAACTAACACAACTCTCACAAAGATAACAGGTAAGAAAAATATGCTAAAAAATACACGTCTCTGTCTCTCTCTTCCTCAGGTGTCTTTGAAAGTCTGAAAGCAATCCTCCATGATGCCAGTGTAGACATAAGAGTACAGTACATGATTGAGGTGATGTTTGTTATCAGAAAGAACAAGTTTGCTGGCTATCCATTCATTGTTGAAAGTCTTGATTTGATTAACGAAGATGATCAAGTCACTCGTATAATTTCACTGGATGATGAACTAGATGGAGAAGATAATATTAGTAGATGTAAGTGTTACTATTCATTACATCATTTATGTTACTATTTTTATTACTGATAGTAGTATATTTTCAATGTTACTATTATTTTGCTATTTTTAGATGCATTACCTCATCACAGTGTTACTATTTAATATAACTGACCTTTTCGACATGTTTAAAGTGGACAGTGAGTACCAAGAGAATGAAGATAGATACAAAGCAATCAAAGAGGAGAAACTAGGGGAGGGGTCTTCGGATGATGAGGAAGGAGAGAGTGAGGATGAGGAAGAGATTGAGGGGGAGGAGGAGGAGGAGGGAGAAATGAAGATTATTGATGAAACACAAACTGACATGTTGCAACTGAGGAGGTCTATATACATGTATCTCACTATAATGTCAAGGTATTTGTAAATTTATTATTATTATTATTTCCTTGTGTTTATTGATAATAATAATTATTATTATTCTTTATTTTAGTTTGGATTTTGAAAAATGCACTCACAAGCTACTTAAAATGGAGTTCAAACCAACACAAGAGGTTTGTATGTCATCCATTTAAATTTGCTACCTTTTAACTTCACCTCTTTCCAACCGCACCTCTTTCCTATAGTCTCAAGTTGCTAGCACAATAATTGAGTGTTGTCAGGAGAGGTCCTATCAGAGGTTTTACGGACTTTTGGGTAAAAGATTTTGCCACCTGGAGGAGAAGTGGACAAGGAATTTTGATGCCACCTTCAAGACCAAGTAAGAGAGATCAGTATATTTATTTTTTAAATTTATTTATTTATTTAGTCCTAGTACGCTACTGTGCACAGATTCGAAACTAACAAGCTTGTAAATGTTTCTAAGTTTTTGCTCAATTACTTCATACGGATGCATTGTCTTGGACCTGCCTCTCATTACTTCATTTAGACAAAAAAGAAACCAACTCCTCAAGGTACATGTATGTCATGTGACTGTTATTAATCATTAATAATCTCTTTTAGTCGTATATTCATCAAAATATTATTCCAAGAGCTGGCTGAGTAAATGGGCCTACTGAAACTGAAGAAATGACTTAAAGATCTGTAAGCTATCACTATCACATGATTTTTATGTGACTTGGTTTTTTAGAACTCTCTTGGCTTTTTTCAAGGGCCTAATGCCACGGGATAATCCAAAGAACATGAGATTCTCAATCAATTTCTTTATGTCTAGAGGACTGTGAGGATTATCGTGAGTAATGAGTATTACATGTAATTGAGGTACTTTAAGATTTAATTTATTTATTTTTTAGGCCTGAAGCTCTTACACAAGAGGCTCCCTGTCAGTTATGTCACAAGAAACTTACATCGAATAGTTGTCCATCGTCATCAAGAGTTAGTAGCCACATGTCCAGTTTATGACACATCCTAATTTTTTGTGTTAAAAAAGATTGCACAGATGGGTCAACCAACAAAAATAAAACAACTTCGGAAATTTCACACAAATTATTTTTAACATGAAAATATCCCAATCTGCGGTATTGTATTTATCTCCTTTTTATCTCCTACAATTACCGTATAGCCGGAAAATTTGGTGGTCTAAAACTTTGGCGGTTTTGCATCAAAACTGTCTAAATATAATATTGGTGGTCATTTAATTTGGCAGTTGACTATCTTGTCTTTTCTTTAAACATACTCAGCTCTTCTTAAAGCTGCTCCTTGGCAGTCCTTGCCCAAAGTCTTGACTCTGACTGAAATAGTGAGAAATACTGCCATTTTTTAGTATAATTAACCTGCCCATAAAATTGCAATTTTTATTGGCAGTTATAATATTGGCGGTTTTATTTTGAACTGCCAATCCGCCAAATTTGATTCTCTGCCAAATTTTCCGGCTTTACGGTAGTCCGATTTTTCAGTCTATGTAAATTATGCAAAGAACTATCAAGAAGCAATTTTGACTTTGGAAAAAATCCATGCCGATTATAATGTATCAATCTACTTCAAAGTTAGCAATATACAAACGTACATGTATATGACATAATTACTATTTTGATAGACATAAGGTGAATGTGAACTTTATCAGGAGGCAATAAAGTATATATTGCCAGTCTTACTGGCAGAGTCTTTACATCATTTTTTTGACACATGTTCAATAGTAAAAGTAAGTGTATCTACATGTAAGAGCATGGTTTTGCTATAATACATGGCATGTTTTCCTTCTTTCTCTCATCATGTAGCTAATGCATGCAGCAACAAGGGACATTAATGATCACACTGCTTTCGAATCAGTTAGTCTAAATAATCTGTTCCAGTTTTACCTTTTATTTCTCATTGTCTTCTCCTTTCCTTATAGGCTCTATAAGTATCATTCTGCATTATCTTACTGTAATTGAGGAATTTAATCTCCTGACAAGAAGAAGGCATGTTAATTAATAAAATAGGAAAATTGACAAAATGGGAACAAGAGTTTAAACTGTAAATTAAAGCATGGCATGTGAGCCTGTCATACATGCCTGTAATAATGTTCCTTACTTTTTGTATCTCATTTTCCTTTAGGGAGACGACATTCATATACATGCAACAGAGCTTGTTAAAGGTATTAAGTCCTACTAGTTGCTACTGCATAGCAGGAAAATTTGGCATTATTTGGAAATTTATAATTGAGCATGCTCAGAATAAAGCAGAATTGTTGATTATTTACAATTAATCTGCCAACCACTAAGCCAATTTTTACTGCTATATGGTATGTATAACATTAAATTTTATTTATTAAATACCCACCAAAATAGATGGTATTTTAATGGTTGAAGAAGGAAAGAAAGTAAGTTTTGATTTGATTTATTTTTCTTTTTAATTTTCTAAATTTTTGTCATCCAGGCAAAGAAGGAAGAAAGATGTATTATGTTATTTGATGTGTTAATCATATTGTGCAAGATTGTAAGTTCAACAGGTTTAACTTGAAATATTCAATTATTTCAAAAGAAAACCATGGCAAGCAAATCGAAGCTCAAAGGAATGATGAATATGAAGGCACTCAATTTCAAACTAACTGACAATCAAGACGGTAACCATGACAACTAATGTTACTGTGATAACAGCTACTTTTTTGCAGGTGAAAGATTTATATTAGCAGATTGTGTAAAAAGTTATAGATTTTATGCCAAGTCTCACAAAAAAAATTACTGGATTTTTGGAATTGTTTTATTATTAGTTAGAAGGTACATGCAATGTTTATGTGAATCATATGATCTGTTTCTCCACAATTCTTGCAGTCGATTCAAAGAATAATAGATGTAAAGGAGAAAGAAGAGGAAATGGAGCCTCCCTCAACTCCTACCTGACGCAAAACTATACAAGTAAAATTTTGTGTAAAAAGTGCATGTTTCAGGAGGAGTCAGTGTTTAGGGTGACCTCTCACCCTCTTTTGAACTAGTGTTGTTATTTAATGGGCGTACCGGTCTATATGTCACTCCCTTTTGTAACTCAGTGGGCCTGCTTGATGCAAAGAGCCCACTTAATTTCATGAAATTTGTTATTAAAAACCACTATAGGGTATACATGATGTATATGTATTACCACATAAGCAGTCACGATGAGCTGATATAATATCAGATTCACTTTGTAGCTTAGATAGCCATTGGTATTGAAGACATTAATGTGTACATGTAGTTTCAAGTCTTAGCTAGCAAGCCTGAGGTCTCTGGGTAAGGCAATGGGTCTATTCACTGTGTACAGCCATTTGTATATGTATTAGCACATAAGCAGTCACGATGAACTCATATAATATCAGATTCACTTTGTAGCATAAATAACCAAAGGTATTGATGACATTAATGTGTACATGTAGTTTGAAGTCTTAGCTAGCAAGCCTGAGGTCACTGGCTAAGGCAATGGGTCTATCCTCTTTGTACAGCCTTGTGTATGTGTATTATCACATAAGTAGTCACTATGACCTTAAATAATATCAGATTCACTTTGTAGCGTAAATAACCATTGGTATTGATGACATTAACGTGTACATGTAGTTTCATGTCTTAGCAAGCAAGCCTGAGGTCACTGGCTATGGCAATGGGTCTATCCTCTGTGTACAGCCATGTGTATATGTAATAGCACATAAGTAGTCAGGACGAGCTCATATAATACCAGATTCACTTTGTAGCATAGATAACCATTAAGATTGATGACATTAATGTGTACATGTAGTTTGAAGTCTTAGCTAGCAATCCTGAGGTCACTGGCTAAGGCATTGAGTCTATCCTCTGTGTACAGCCATGTGTATATGTAATAGCACATAAGTAGTCACGATTAGCTCATTGGGGCGAGCATGGGCGAGCCCCACTAAAGGCCTTTTCACACTGGCACAAGTAATGCGCATTGATGCGCATTAATCGTGTTCACACTAGAGTGGTTTTGGAGGTCGTCCCTAAAAAACGGACCGGACCAACGGACCATGGTCGGCGACAAATCTGTTTTACGGACCCGAATGGTCCGCGACATCTCTATTTTACGGACCACTTTGCTCACTATACCGGTAATCCGGCTTACAGATGCTAATGCTTGGGTCAAGATTTACTCTTGCTGAAATCCTGCTTCTCGGTTAGATATAAGCTCAAACCTTCAGATATTGTGAATTTAACAAATTTATTCATGAAGCAACTCAGTGTATACAGCCTGAGCCTGGTACTGAGTACTGAACTTGGATGTTGTGCAGTGACTAGTCTACAAATGGCGGTTTAAATATCTCTTACTTATTTGTGTCACTGTACAGCTTACTGTGGCAAGCAAATCTTGTTCTGAATTCAGTGGAAAAACGGTTACAAATTAGATATGTAATGTAATAATTGCAACTTCTTAAACTTGTCAATGACCACATATGTTGGTACAATTATTGTGGTTGATCATTTTATGCATGAATAACTTTAAAAATTTAAGTCTATACTTGATAACATAACATGCAGTGTATGTGAAATGTATGCATGCAAT